TTGTCAACCCTGGTTTGAGTTCTGGTGAAGTCTGGTGTGGGTCCTGTTTTGGCTGTTTACGAGTATTTTCAGTCTGCTCGCTCAGTCCGCTAATGTCCCCGTGACCACTTTGCTGCTCTCTGATTGGTTGTCGCACAAACGTACCAAGGAAAGGATGAGCAGAATCCATATCCTGTTCGCTCCTGCTCCTCCCTTTTCACTTTCCCGCCAAGTCCGTGCGTCATTATTGAACAGTCCGTTTGTGCGTGCCGAGAGGTCCGTGCGTTGTGACGGGCGAACGCGCGCCACCATAGACTTTGCATTGAAACCCGACGCAACGCATGATCCGGTCTGAAAGCACCATAACTGTACTTCATGTAATGTATGCACAATTAGAGGTGCAACGGTTCATCACTGATCCGTGATCCGTTCGGTTCAACGTCTTCGGTTCGGTACAGACGTGATCCGCGGTTTGATTTATGAAAAAAAAGTTGTGCGCACGTTGTTTAGTCCACACACAGCGCGGTCATTGCGAGCGGAGGAACGGAGATGCTTGAAAGCCCCGCGTCATTTAAATCCCCAGTATGAGAGCATTTTGGCTTCACTGTAACTACACTGATAATTAATATTTGACAAAACTGTCACGATGTGTAAGCACTGTGGCACAAGAAAGACATGAGTGAAAAAAGCGTCTCAACGACCACCTATTGTCGCGGCATTTAAGCAGTTCCTTTACGCACAGTCAGACCAGGCTAAAGTCAACTCTCCCGCGCATCCTCAGCTGCGCTCACGACTGACGCTTGGACGTCCCGCGGAACCTATAATAGATCCATGAGCGGAACCGCTCACTTCATCACCGCAGACTGGGAGATGAAAAGTCTGGCGCTGAAGACACGCCCCCTTTACGACAGTCACACTGTCACACAGCGCAGGTACTGACACAAGCAGCGGAGGAATGGAAGACAAAGGCCCAGTACTAATATCCCAGTCACAACTGATAATGCCAAAAATTAAATAAATGCAGTGAATGAGGCTGGGCCCAGAATGGACCCCCTCCTCGGGAGAATCAGGAAGGTGGTGTAATATATGAGGGTAAATATCCTCATAAAGTGCCTTCTTATGTTGCACTTTGTGTTGTTTTTCATTAATTATGTTAAATAGACATAATTGGATGGATGGAATATGCCTTCCATCCATCCATCCATTTCCTTCCCCTTAATTCATTTCTAGGTCAGGGTGGGCAGTCAGAGCAGGTGCAGAGTCCACATGAGCTGTGTTTATTAAAAAGACAAAACTTTTTTTTAGAAAAATGAACCGAAAAATGAACCGAACCGTGACCTCTGAACCGAGGTACGAACCGAACCGTGATTTTTTCAAACCGTTGCACCCCTATGCACAATACATACTATGCAACAAGAGTTACAGTCCTTGCTGATAACATGGGCGCATATTTCAAATTAGCGCGGGGATCACGCGTGTTGTAAAGTTCCACTGCTCACTGCTGACCGGGTGCTAGAAGTACATAGTTTTCCCTTAGCCATCTAAACGCTCTGCAGGAGCATGGTCATTTTTGCTAAGTGCAACTTTGATTGTTGTGATCAAGAACATGGAGATGCTGATGAACGCAGCAGAAACTGCTCATGAACGCATCAGACACTGCTGCTGCGTTGTAAAGGCCCAGAACGGTGTATGACGTTTACAGGGTGTGTAGTGCAGGGTTGAGGGTGTGATTCCCAGCTGATCTGGTGTCAAAGCTGAATGCAGAAGGATCACATGGAGCCTGTAGTCTGTGGAAAGCTGAGGCCTGAGGGTTAGAACAGACTTTGTCTTACCTCTGATCGAGTTACACACTGTCCTGAAGGTGCACAAACCTGTTCACATGGAACCAGTCCAAAAACAAAACAAATCACATTCCACAGTCAATCTTGGCCACGTCATGTTTAAAGTTCTAACTTAAAAATCACAAAAAATGTGTTCATAATCCATGATTATTATACTATTCAGTCTATGAGGACAGCACATATGTTACTCCAGTAGAAATTATTGACACAAAAGCTTTGGCTGCGGTAACATGCACAGCCTAAGGGCACGTCGCCACGGGGTGTGAAAACGGCCCGCGGTCACATGAACGTATTGTCTGAACCATGCCAGGGAAATTGTGCTGTAGTACAACACTCGGACCAGCTGGTGGCGCTAATACTAACACCAGGGACTACCTCGTTGCCCTGGTTGAGATCCGCTTCTTTTCCTGTTTACATTCTGCTACTGCAGCTAACAGCTACTGTAGCTAACAGCTCAGTACGGATCGCGTTGTTTAGGGAAAGATACATCTCACATCAGACACACACATTCTTTAGCAACGAGCGTAAGAGCGTTGAGAAATGAATGAATGAGAATGAAGGAATGAAAAGTGTGGAGCAGAGCGACCGCAGACAGGGAGGTTACATGTGTGTTTGTGTGTGTTCTGGTGATTAAATGAAGACTGATTCTTGAATGTCTGAAGTGTTATTGCAATAGCACCACACTGAGAGCGAGGGTCAGGACAGAAGAGAGCTATTCCCGTAGGAAACGCTTTTCTTTGGCCCTGCAGAGAGACACTCCCCCAGCCCCCCTCGAGCACAGTCCGGGGCTGAGAATACGAAAGTGCAGGAGAGACGTGTGTGAAAATGCGTGTCACAGGAAGACGTAATGTGACGCACAATATCAAGTCCCCAACACACCTAATCCCCCACTCCCCACCGCCCGCCACACTGACCCCCCCTCATCTCCGCTGGGAAGCGGGCCCTGGCCGCAGTTTTTAACCGCGCCAGAGCACTAGCTCGAATGCCGCGGTCAGATGGCACCTGAAGCCCGGATCTAATCGCGAAGTGGGCTGGCACACTTTAAGCGGGCTTTAGGCTGCGCATGTGACCGCAGCCTTAAGCGGGCTTTAGGCTGCGCATGTGACCGCAGCCTAAAGCCCGGTGTAAGTGGGCCAGGGCCCACTTTGCGATTAGATCCGGGCTTCAGGTGCTATGTGACCGTGGCAAGTGGGCTCGGGCGCGATAGTTTAAACCGCGGGGAGTGGGGGATGAGGTGGGGTGGGGACTTGATATTGTGCGTCACATTACGTCTTTCGTTGTGACGCGCATTTTCACACACGTCTCTCCTGCACTTTCGTATTCTCCGCTTGTGTTAAACCTTTCATATAAGCCCAGGACCGTGGTCGAGGGGCACAGGGGGGTGTGTCGCTCTAAGGCCAAAGAAAAGCGTTTCCTACGGCAATAACTCCCTCTGTTCTGACCCTTGCTCTCAGTGTGGTGCTATTGCAATAAGACTTCAGACATTCAAGAATCAGTCTTTATTTAATCCCCAGAACACACCAACACACACTTGTATCCTGTCTGTCTCCGGTCGCTCTGCTCATACGCCACACTTTTCATTCTTTCATTCTCATTCATTCATTTCTCAGCGCTCTTACGCTCGTTGCTAAAGAGTGTGTGTGTGTTTGTGTGTGTGTCCGCGGCGCGCACGCACACACACACGCACATGTTCATTCAAACGTTACCCACTGAACTGCTGCACTTTGCATCAGGGCAAGTGTGAGATGGATCTTTCCCTAAACAAGGTGATCTGTACTCGAGCTGTTAGCTACAGTATTTGTTAGCTACAGCAGCAGAATGTAAACGGGAAGAGAAACGGAAACTCAACCTGGACAACAAGGTTGTTGCTCGAGTTAATATTAGCGCCACCAAGTGGACCAAGTGTTGTACTACAGCACAGTTACTCTGCCACGTTTGCAAATACACGTTCATGTGACCGCTGTATTTGTATTTGCAAACGTGCCAGAGTAACTGTTTTCACACCCCTGTGGTGACGATCCGGTCCACTTGGCCTAGTTCGCTTGTAAAAACCTATGTGACCGTGCCCTTTGTCTCAAAGATGTCTGTCTCTTCAGATCCATGATCTGTACTCATTGATTCATGCTCGCACCATGAACGTTCCAAACATTAGCAGTGACGTGTTCTGGTCAGCTCTGGTTCTCTTGGTCTTGTGCATAGGTTCTATTTCCAGAGTAACGCTTGAGCGTTCTGACCAACTAGAGCCGCTGATAAGAGTAGGACAAGAGCGAGCCAAGTTTGTGGCACAAAAGTGGCGAAGCCTGATGGATTTCGTAAGAAAAAAAGTTCCAGACGGCAAGTTGGCTCCTGTGGGAAAGCTGTGGTTCTGTCTCTGAGGAAGAGCTGTTTTAGTGAACGCTGACATCTGTGGGGAAATGTCCTTACAAACCATATGGATTTATGCTGCAGTACCGCGGGTGGCCTCTTGTCCATATGGAGTCAGGTTAAAGCAGAAGCACCCTCCACATTTTCAGACATCCATGATTTGAGCTGACATCAGGACCCAGCGCTGATGTCACAGCTTTCTCTTGTAGGAACAGAGCAACAGGGATGTGGCATCTGCGGCAGTGTGAACTGGTCATGATGAAGCCACTGTCAGCCGCGCTTAGATCAGCTTTTTCAGTCAGAAAAGTGAAGAGGCCCACCCTCACTCAATCAGCTCTTTGTATGTCAGAGATGTTTTATTCTAAGATGAAGACTGCATGTTGGGACAAAAGTAAAAGTGACTATGGAAATGTAAATTTAAATGTTGTTTTGTTGTATATTCAAAAACATTGTAGCTTGAGTCCAGGTCTCTGAACTGGCTTCCTGTGGCTCAGAGAATAGACGTTATTCATCCATGACATATAATGTTTGTGCCATATGAACCAACTTAGACTCTGAGGACGGCAGGGACTGACCTGCTGCTGGGACTCTGAGGAGCGCAGGGACTGGCTTCCTTCTCTGACAATGTTCAAATCTAGATTAAACACAGTTCTGTTTTGCTGCAACAACTGAAGGATTGTATCTCTTTTATTGTGATTATTTATAAATATTTTATATTATGTGTAATTGTATTTTATTGTATCTTATTCTGTTGAGCACTTTGAGTTGCCTTGTGTATGAACTGTGCTATACAAATATACTTTCCTTTTTGTGCAGATGCCTGTTTGTACCAGTTTGAGAGCATGGAGGAGGGTGACGACAGCGGTCCAGCACTCAGATACAACACAGAGGTTTGTCCCACCCTTTGTGTCACGTTCAAAAGTGGGCGTGGCCAATGCGCTGAATATTGAATATACACACCTGACCCAAACTGAACTCTCAAAACTTAAGACTGGGGACTCGTCCTCAGGTCCAAGGAGTCCAGGGTTTCAAGATTAGTCCTCAGGTCCAAGGAGTCATTTCAATGTAATTAAAAAACAACCGATTAAGGTTAAAACCATGACATATTCCGTGATTATAAATGATTGGTTTCATTAAATCACTAATTAGATAGTTTAACTTCACTGTTAGAAAAAACAGGAAGAAAACACAGGAAGTAAAGCTGAGTCAGAAGCGCGTGGCTTTCTGGGGGACGTATGCAGAGGCTTCTCGACCTATCACATTCTGAGAAATGCAAAAACGACAACCGCACCATGCGTAGCGTCCATGGATCTGTAGATTTTGTTTCAATGCTGTGTCAATGGTTATGCACGTCCGTGCGAGGAATAGCATGTGTAGAGGCAGTGGGTACAGAGACTTGTTGCATTTGGCAAAACCCAGAGATGAACCTTTTCCTCGGGAAGCACGTACAGCTTTCAGAGAGCCCCACGGAGCCGTCACGGGCACACAAGACACTCGAAAACAGCCAAAACAGGAGATAAACCAGGACTAAACCAGGAGTAAACCAGGACTGACAATGGGGGACACTGTGCTTTTGAACATATGCCTACAGCCTGAGTTCTCATTCTCCCGTGACAAGGGCTGCTAACGTGTGTTTGCTGAAACGACAAATGTATTTTAGGTTTAAAAAAAGAAAAATCAATAATTATCGATTTCAAACAATATGAATCACTGATATTGTGATATAGTTTTCGCCATTCCATATCGCCCAGCCCTAGATTAACCGCGGCGATCAAACAGTAAGTGAAGTTTTTCTGTTTCTCAGTATGAGCGCGACCTGGTGCTGACCCTCGAACACGACAGCCGCACGTCACCATGGAGACACCTTGACGACAACCTCCTGACGGGTAAACATTTTATTTCAGAGATTATGCATCATAAATATGTACACTTTTTGCCTCTTAAATAGAAGTTCTTCTGTTTAGATAATGAGGTGATAATCTCTACATAAGTCTCCATCCCCTAATTCTCAATAGCAGCGTTTCCCGCTCTGTGACAGCTTGGAGTCTTTCGTGATAGTTGTAGATGAGGTTCTTTATCATCCCTGGTCTCTCTTTGGTCTCACTCTATTCTCACTCTGGCTCTACCAACTGAGCTACTGTCGCCCATATTTTCATTCTTCTATTAATCATCTGTGCCGTGTAATTTTGAAGCGAGGATAGCACAAGCGTTAAATCTGCAGCATGACCTCTCCATGAACCTCCAGCTTGCCCTAGCAACCGTCTTAGCAACACGTCTGCCCCTCTTAGGGTGAAAAACTAACGCTGGGGAAGAAATTCCCATAAAAGGAAATTGGCTCCAGCAGGCTAATATTATGGTGATGTCACACTCGGTCTGTTCAATCCTAATATTTGCTCTATGGTTTCAGGTGAAGCTCCGGTGATGAAGAGTGAGATGACCATCGCTCAGCCGCTGCCCGTCGACATGTGTACGTCTGGTTCAAATGGATTTATACAGAAATACAAGAAACAAGTAGAGATATTACATGCGGTCTTGTGCTGTCGTGTCACATGACCAAGATGTGAGGAATGAATTTTTCAAAATTAAACATCATTAAGTGATTTACTTTTACCTTGTGACCGGTTCTGAATTGCCAGGGATTGTGGATCATTGATGTTGCAGGTTTATCTGAATAGAACATCTTTGTAAATACAGTGTGATATTTTATAATATTTACAACAATATTGGCTGTATCACCAATCTTTCTCTCCTCTCAGTGTTCCAGATCAAAACGGAGCCACCCTCTCCCTCCTCCAGCTCTCACTCGCCCCCTCCCTCTCCAGATCCTCAGGTCTGAGCTTTCAGAAAACATCTATTCTACACACTGTCCCACTTGACATTCTAAACACAAAGTAAAGAGTTGTGCTATACCTAATATTCACGTATCTTGTGTTGCGTTTTCCTCATTACTACTGGTCTGTACAGTGGAGGCAAAACAGTTTTTAGTCAGCCACTAAGTGCTCTCACTTAAAACGATGAGAGATGTCTGTAATTCCTCATAGATATTAAAACCTCAATGTGAAACAAAGACAAAGTTGCTTTACTCACTTTTTGTGAGTGCTAAAACTGGTGAATATAACTTGAATTACATCAAAACAGTTTGTAGAGTAGTAGGTTGCTATAGTAAACAGCAGGTTGTCAATCTAAATATCTGCTCTGGGAGTTCTTGTGTTCACACTGCCAACCCTTATGTTGGAAGTGTCTTATAACCGTCTGTGCCACTGTTCCAGGTGGTGGTGAAGGGAGAGAACCCCCCCACGCCGCCCTACATGTTTGGGGACGTGCTGTCGCCTCCTCTGGGCTCTCTTGAGGTCACTGTGGCCACATCTGCCCTGGCCCTCCGCAGTCCCACAGCTAAAGCCACTCCTCTACCCTCGGCCCCGTCCCACCCAGGCCTGTCTCCCCACATACTAGGCACTGTCTCAGCTCCAACAACACCCCCAACACAGACCGTCCCAGCTCCAGTCCAGACCGTCCCCCTGCAGACCCCCAGCACAGGTAACTGATATGGCTCAGGAAAAGAAAACTACACACAAGTCTCACCAGAGACAGTCCTCTGCTTCATGTGTTTGGGAGAGAGAAACTCTCATTATCAGAGTTTGGACCATTGCACGCGCTGTTTGTTTCTTTGTAAAGTTGTCAAGATATGTTGGAACATGTCTGTTAAGACGAGAGAACCTTTAGACATCTGACGGTGGGGAGAGTAAAAGTAAGAGCTCAAGATAAACACACAAGATGCAGATAATAATCTATTGTTTAAAGGAGCTATAATCGTTTCTGCAAGGTTTTATTCAGTTTGAATGTTTAGCACTGCCCCAAGCCCCGGTGATCCAAGATGGCGCCCTATTTAAATGAATGGCTTGTGCTCAGTAGCGCATGGGACTCACGTAGGCCGGGAGATTAGCAGAACTCGCCTATATTTGGGCATCGTCTGGTCCTCCCGGTTCTGCGCAGTAGACGAGCTCCAATGATGCGTTGCGCCAAATACGCGTGTGTGGCTTTCATGCACTCGCAAAGAGGGGCTCGGCCGCGCTCTGACCAATCAGCGCTGCTGATCAGAGCAGCAGCAGAGCGGAGTCAGAGCGGGAAGGAAAGGAGCAGAGTTTGTGGCAGTAAAGTGTGGATTTAAAGAAAACAGAAGGATTTAAGAAGAGAAAAGTTCAGGATGACAAGGGACACTAAAATCCCCACAAAATCCGATATTTCTGAAAGCTGTAGGTTCTCTATCAGCTGAGGTACATTGAGTTCTATGGGACTTTTTTCTGGGTAGCCCGCGTTAATTTAGTTTGCAGTACCACCCATGGGCACAGGGGGCGCCCGTAAGCTAGTAATACCCTATCCAGTTATTGTTATAGATTCATGCACTGCCCCCTCAACTCGCTCACAGGCTTCTCATTTGGAGAAACCCTCCTACTCTCCCCTACGCTCCCCACCCACGAAGCCATCTAATTTTATTTGCTATCTGATACATATGCAAATATTAGCATTAGTGCAACTTCTTGTAAGCTGTACAACAATCACTGATGAAATGGTACAAAAGCAACACACTGCTAACAAAATATAGAACTAGCGGTAATCTTTTAGTTATGTCAAAATGTAGTGCGAGGCAGTCCCACTCAGGCAGGTCTCTCCAGAGGATACGATGTGAGCTAGCTATATTCACCCGGGCTTTATTTCTTTGATCATTTTTTTTGCTTTAGTTCCCTCTTCTCCTCACTTTTGCGTTGTTTGAGCTGTTTTGCTGTGTCTGCAGTTACAGCCAGAGGAGTTATAGCCACTTTCTGCCTCCATGCTGTTCTTGTTTAAATGCACTGCAGACGCTAGAGGAGGCAGCCTGTTTGTAACTGCACCGCTCCTCGTTCTGTGAGTGGAAGAGGGCTAGCGTCACGCAACATTTCTACTCAGCACTTTTTATAGCCTGAATTCATACACAAGCTAAATCAATGTGCTCAAGTTATCAATTAACTTACGGATTTTGATACAACTTGTATGTAGTAATACGCATTGTTATGAAGTCATTAGAAAATAAATCGGGTATAGTTCCAGATAATGACTAGTAGATCATAATAACATAGTGGGCAGCCGGCTTCCCCAGCGTCTGAGAAGAACAAAAATGATGCGCCTCTCTTTCTGGTCTTTTTCTGGTCTCTCTGTTGTCTGGAACTTTATTTGACTCTTTTTAATTTGACATGTGCCTATCTTCCTTGTGGTGAAAAGCCGACAGGTCCAAACAACACACCTGCTCTTTCCTCTGTGTTCCATGAATGACTTGTCCTCTTTCTTGTGTCCAGTCCTGTCCGGCTCGGCGCTGCCTCAGTCCAGGTGTAAACTCCCCCTGCAGCCGCGACCTGTGTGTGTGGCCTCTGTCCCAGGGCCTGCCCCCAGTCCCACCCTGCTGCTGCAAGGACTGAGCAGCCTAGACCAAAGCCATTCAGGTATGAGCCAGTACCTGAGACCCCTCCAGGACCTGAGACCCCTCCAGGACCTGAGACCCCTCCAGGACCTGAGACCCCTCCAGGACCTGAGACCCCTCCAGGACCTGAGACCCCTCCAGGACCTGAGACCCCTCCAGGACCTTAGACCCCTCCAGGACCTTAGACCCCTCCAGGACCTTAGACCCCTCCAGGACCTTAGACCCCTCCAGGACCTGACCCAAGACCCCCCAGGACCTGACCCAAGACCCCCCAGGACAAAGGCCTGAACCATGTTGCACAGCTCGGTGTATGTGTCTCTGCAGTGGTCCTGTCCCCCTCAGTCTGTCTCACATCCCCCGCCATCGTCAAAGTGGAGCCTCTCTCTCCCAGCATGCCTCAGTGCAGTGCAGCCCCGCCCACCAAACCCATCGTCCCAGCAACTGCCAACCTTCCCGGCAACGGTGGCAATGACATTGACGTGAGTAATGTGATCTTTACCTCTGCTTAGGGGAGGTGTCTTAACAGACACAAAGACGTTTGTGTGTCTGTTTGTTCGTCTGTGGGAAACAACTCCAAAGGTTGTGGAGGATTTGGACAAAATGCTCAGGAAATGTACACAACCTAGTATAGGAAAACAATCTCAAAGGAATTGATTGGAATCTTAAGCAAATAGAGCTACTGTAAAGCCCTGTTTCACCCAGCTCTAGTCTACTCTACCCTACACTACCCCACCCCGATTGTGAGCGTTTCAAACGGCCCTGTTAAAACCGAGACCAGGTACTTCTTTACTAGCTCGCTCACTTTACTAGACCAGAAAGAGAGAGAGAAGGACCAGCGAGAGAGAGACCAGAGAGGGTCTTATTTTCGGCTGGCGACCAACGAGAGGGAGAGAGAGACCAGAGAGGGGGAGAGAGAGCAGAGAAGGAGAGAGAACAGACAAGAGGGGGAGAGAAAGGGAGAGAGACCAGAGAGGGAGAGAGACCAGAGAGGGAGAGAGACCGGAGAGGGAGAGAGACCGGAGAGGGAGAGAGACCGGAGAGGGAGGGAGACCGGAGAGGGAGGGAGACCGGAGAGGGAGGGAGACCGGAGAGGGAGGGAGACCGGAGAGGGAGGGAGACCGGAGAGGGAGGGAGACCGGAGAGGGAGGGAGACCGGAGAGGGAGGGAGACCGGAGAGGGAGGGAGAGGTAGATAGACCGGAGAGGGAGAGAGAGAGCAGAGAACAGAGAAGGAGAGGGAACAGACAAGAGAGGGAGAGAAAGGGAGAGAGACCGGAGAGGGAGAGAGACCGGAGAGGGAGAGAGACCGGAGAGGGAGAGAGACCGGAGAGGGAGAGAGACCGGAGAGGGAGGGAGACCGGAGAGGGAGAGAGACCGGAGAGGGAGAGAGAGAGCAGAGAAGGAGGGGGAACAGACAAGAGAGGGAGAGAAAGGGAGAGAGACCAGACCAGAGAGGGAGAGAGACTGGAGAGGGAGAGACAGAGAGGAGAGAAGGAGAGAGAACAGACAAGAGAGGGAGAGAAAGGGAGCAATAAGATTGCTTATTAGCTTCTCTGTCATGGGGATTGTTCAGCAATACTTCAGGAATGTGCTGATGTCACATGAACACTAACTCTCTCTTTCTGGATGAAATCTCGTAACGATGTGTTTCCAGATGAAGGTTCTGAAGCGGCAGCAGCGGATGATCAAGAACAGGGAGTCGGCCTGTCAATCACGAAGGAAGAAGAAAGAGTATCTGCAAAACCTGGAGACGCAGCTACGAGACGCTCAGGTGGAGATCGAGAGGCTGAGGAGGGAGAACCAGGAGCTGAGGGGGAGGCTGGAGGGCCGAGAGGTGAGACCAGAGACCAGAGACCAGAGACCAGAGACCAGAGACCAGAGACCAGAGACCAGAGACCAGAGACCAGAGACCAGAGACCAGAGACCAGAGACCAGAGACCAGAGACCAGAGACCAGAGATAATATTGAAATGTTCTAAGGATTAAAGTGGATTATCGTTGGATGTGTGTGTTTTCAGGGAGGAGATTCTGTGAGTAACAAACGCGCCATCTGCGTCATGGCGGTTCTGCTGTTTATGACGTTCAGCTTCGGACCTGTCAGGTACAACACACACCTTTTTAAAAGCTGGGGTACCCCACTTTCAAAACCACATCAACAGAACTACAATGTGTAATAGAACCCATGACACTAGTTATTGGCTCTGAAGCAGTTGCTCCAATCGCTGGTTTTCACATGCATTTCTGACCTCTGCCACATGTTTAGATCAGCTTCTTTAGAGAGAAAAGTGAATAAGAGAGGAAATAGTGACTCACAAGGCTCGTTCTTATTCAAAAGATTCTAATAAGATGAGGACAGCATGTTGTGGTCTGATTACTTTACTTTTGCAAGAATTGTTCTGTTGGAGTGAATCAAAGTCATGAACCCCAGCTTTAACGCAGATTTAACCTAAATTTTCTAAACTCATCTCTGCGCAGCATCACAGACAAGAAGTGGGCGGACTTTAGCAGCGGTGCGGTCTCCTACACGGGAAGGAAGCTGCTGGAGTTCGAGCATCAACAGAGTCAGAACCGACTCCAAAAACAGACTGTTTCACCCAAAAGAGCAGCGCCACAATCCGAGCTGGAGGAGCAGAGAGGGGAGGAGGGATGGGCCCAGGACGAGAGGTTCAACTCCGACTCTTTTCACTACAGGTGTGTGTGTGTTCGTGTGTGTTTGGGGTGATGGAGGAAAGCTCCACACTATTAGCAGGAACGAGTAACTCTGCCCCTTCGATTTAAAAGTCATTGTACCTCTATGACATCACACTCAGTTCTCTTTCTTTAAAACAGTAGGGTGTCCAGAAAGAGCTTCACAGTGCCAAACTTTTCATTCTTTGGACTTCTGCGTTTATTAAATGTACATCAGAGCTGCCTTTTGTGGCTCACGGAGGAGAGCCCACGCAGATCCATTAGAGGCAGATGACATTGGTCATCTGCCTCTAATGGACCAATGGTTCTGTGTCTTTTATCATTTGCATTTCCTGTGTTTGAAATGTTAGATTTTCTGATCTGTGTTGTGGAATCGACAGCTTTTGTAAAGCTCTCGGCGATAACTACTGTTGTGATTTTGGGCTGTGCAAAAACAAACTGAATTGAATTGAATCCTCTTCATGCCTCGGTCTCTTGTCGTCTGCAGGAACCTGAGCGACGCATTCACAGACGTGAAGGACCTGGTGCTGGACATCGACCGCTTCTTCTCCTCCAGCGACTGCAGACAGTTCAACCGCTCAGAGTCCCTCAGGTACTGGCTCCGTCCACATGTCCCATTCACATCAACACTAGTCCTTCTGTCCCATTCACATAAACAGAACAGGGCCTTTCTGAGTGGAGTTTGCATGTTCTCCCCGTGGCTGCGTAGGTTTACTCTCGGTGCTCTGATTTCCTCTACCACTAAACACATGTACAATGGGTCAGGCCCTCCAGCGCTGGTCCTTCTTCCTAAAAGCCTCCCCTTGTGTGCCTGCAGGCTGGCAGACGAGCTCCGTGGCTGGGTTCACAGACACCAAATCGACCGCAAGAAATCCGGAGGAAAATCCAAGATGGTGAAGAAGGCAAAGATCGCCCAGGTAACAGCAGCCGAGGCTCTGAGCAAAGGGCCGCATCAGTGTCAACTATTCTAGTGGGGGTCGCAATTACTGTTATTTTGTTGCTTGTTAAATTGTGTTTGGAGAAGAGTCTGATAAAAAATATAATTGAATTACACTTTTAGTTTTGGCCTAGACATTATTATGACGGTGTCAATCAAAATTAAGATGTGTCCTGCTGTTGTTTGCTAAAACTAAAGGTGTTTGGTCGGCTACAAACAAATAATTCCTGCTTTAAAATGAAACGTGATTTATATCCACAACAGAAAAACTCTGAGGGGGAGAAAAGTCACATGTGCGAAGACCGCAGCAGAGGGAACATCCGAGAGGGCAACGAAGAACAGTCAGGGCCACAAGAAATGCCCTCTGCGTCACCTCTGCGTCACTACGCGAGCAAAAATATGCAAGGCTCTTATTTTCGGCTGGCGAGCGGGGCTCATATTGCGACACTATGCGCCACTTTGCTAGTCTCCTCGTGTTGTCTTTATGGTCCTCGCTGATAACATGTGTAGCAACAAGATTGTTCTAATTTGAAATGTGCACCCAAGTCTCTACGCAAGTCTCTTCGGTTCATATGACGCTTACGGTGTGTACAAGGCGTTACTACAAATCAAAGAAATACATGCTTTACATTCGCGTTCCAGCGCCCTGGCAATGGATGAAGCGGAAGGAAAGGGATGGATGGACATTTCACGCGATGGGAAGGGCTGATGAGGTGGAGGAGGTGGGGGGTCACATAAACAAAGATTTGACACCTCCATTTTCTATGTAATTTTTTTAGCATCTTAATAGAATTTTATTTTATTCATACATACAATTATTCACCGTTAGACATTCACAGTGTTGCCTTGAGTATGAACTGTGTATTTCCCCTGTACCTGATTGGTGTTATTGGACAATGACTGATTGCTGAACATGTTTCTTTTTCTGGTTTCAGAAAGCCCAGCTGAGGAAGGCCAACATCTCCAGATACTTGCCGATCCAGTCCCACCGCTCTATCGAGAGGTAACTGCGCTCTCACCAGTTTGGTAACTGCATTTAAAGATGGGGTACGTAAATTTGGCCTCAATGATACCACACGCGACACACTGGCTGAGTGGTTAGCAATCTCGCTTCTCAGCAAGAAGGTCCTGGGTTTGAATCCCAGTCTGATAATGACCTCTGAGTGTAATTTGGATGTTCTCCCCGTGTCTGTGTAGGTTTCCTCCGTAGTCACACCTATCGCCATTGAATGTACCATCACTTTTGGCTTCTATGGGGCTTTTTCAAAATGGCCACGGACAGCCCCTTCCACAGGAAAATGTGAAAAAAAAGCTGCATTTGCGCATGTTTTAGACGGCACCAGCCTCATTAATTTAACGAGTGCCTTCGGAAGTCCACAGCAGCTAAACTTGACTGGTCCAAAAAAAATATACTCCCCTCAGTATTGACACATGTTGTAGCTGGGTGGTATTGCAAGTATGTCAGTGCACATGCTATGGACGTTTTTGAGACGGGACCTGCCTCCATTGGTTTCCTCTGGAGGCTTTTGGTCCGCCAGTGTCTCGCTTCTGTCATCACTGTGTGTGGAGTGAAGGAAACAATATCTGATCATTTGTAAAGCACTTCCTTGGGCCGTAAAACTGTGCTATATAGATAAAGATTACTTACTTACTTTTTTACAAGCAGTTAAAAGAGGCTTGTCAAAGTCATATGTTGTGAACAAATCAGCCCACAACATGCTGTATGCTTGTATGTGTAAGAAGGAGCCCTTTGAGTGACTTTTGGAGCTTAGAGCTGATTGGCTGAGTGAGAGTAGTTTTCTGTTTTTAACTTTTTTGTCTGATAAAGCTAATCTAACATGTGACAGAGGCCAGACACACATGCATGTGGAAACTAGTGACCAAACCAGTTCCAGACCAAACATGTGTGACATGGATTTTATGACATTTTGGCTTTGTGTAAAGTGGGGAAACACTGACCTCAAGTGGTCTATGTGTGAACATAGTGAACGTGAGAAATGGCAGAAATTGATTTAGATTTAGACTTTCAACACGATGTGGTCTTGTTAGGGTTCATCACAATTTAAGTTTGAAATGTTTAGATATTTCTGTATTTTTTTTAACATAATTCAGTTATTTGGGATATTGACATTTTGTAACAAAGAATCAGACATTGTAAACAAGAGCTTGATAATGTTTCAACAATGAATAAATAAATAGAAAATAAGTCACCGATAGTCTTGTATAAAACCGTTATTTTTTACTGAATCGTATTGAATATTTAAGCCTTAGTGGCAACAGGATGGGATAAATGCAGAGGATGAATTGCCCTCTGGGGATTAATAATGTGCACCTTTACCTTAACCTTCAGAACAGAAAGTTCCCTGTATCTAGATGCATATCATATCCGCAAACTCTGAAAGATTCACAGCTGAGATTACATGCTTTATCTCCTATTGGCAAGTTTATTTGTATAGCACTGTTCATAAAACTTTGCTGCACAAAGTATGTAAAAAAAGTAAATCATAAATGATCACAGAACATCAAAAAGACTAAAGACACCATCCTTCAGTTGTTGCAAACAGAACGCTCCTGTGTGTGCAGATTATATTTTGTGTATCAGATAAGATAAAAGTACCTTTATTTATCCCACAGTGGGGAAATTTCAATGTGGGGAAATGTCAGTAGTGTTTGTCAGTCAGCCTCAGGTGTGTGTTTATACTGTGTGTGTGTGAAGGTTATATTTTGTGCTTCAGTCAGCTGCAGGTGTTGCCTGGTCCTGAGGTCTCGTACTCAGACTTCCTGGACGCCATCGATCGCAGAGAAGACACTTTCTACGTGGTGTCGTTCAGACGGGTACGAGACATTTATGCATTTATGAACACACACACACATACTGCTTCCATAGACATACACATGTGAGCAGTGTTGGGCAAGTTACTTCAAAAACTTATTACTGCTATTTCTAAATGATGTATTACACTACAATACTACTATCTCTGAATTGTAATGCATTACACTACTACTGCATCACTTAAGCTTCTGTCTCCAAATTATTTTTATTTGTGTATATATATATATATAAACGCACACCTTTTGCCCTCCGCGGGCGGTTATCCCTCTCTAAGCTCTGGTCCTCTACCAGAGGCCTGGGAGCTTGAGAGTTCTGCGCAGTATCTTTGCTGTTCCTAGCACTGCACATTTCTGGACCGAGATTTCCGAGGTTGTTCCAGGGATCCACTGTAACCACTCCTCCAGCTTCGGGGTCACTGCCCCGAGTGCCCCAATCACCACGGGCACTACTGTCACCTATACCCTCCAGGCCCTCTCCAGCTCCTCTCTGAGCCCTTGGTATTTAATAATAATAATAATGCATCGGTTTTATATAGCGCTTTTCTGGACACTCAAAGACGCTTTACATGTCATTATTCTTTCACTCCATACACGGTGGTGATAAACTACTACTGTAGCCACAGCTGCCCTGGGGCTCACTGACGGAAGCGAGGCAACCAGTATGTGCCATCGGCCCCTCCAACCACCACCAACCATTCACACACACACCAGACTCATTCTAGGGGGTGAAGTGTCTTGCCTAAGGACACAACGGCAGTTTGGCACTTTACAGCCGCAGCCGCCCCACTGTGGCTGGTGTTCCCAGAGGTTAAGTGTCTTGCCAAGGACACAATGACATCAGACATCAGTGGGAGTCGATGGTGAAAGTCTTAAGGTGGGCTCGAACCGACGACCCTCTGGCTCAAAGGCCAATGCTCTACCAACTGAGCTACTGTCGCTCTATTTCTCAAGGTTTTTGTGTTCTTTTCTCTTGATGTTGTCGCTTGGAATTGCGACGTCCACCACCACGACTTTCTTCTGCCCTTATATATATATGTTTTTGATTTGTAATTACAGTACTGCATAACAGCAAAATGTACACATTACACTATACACTCACCTTTATTAGGACATCAATCCAACTCCACTTTAATGCAAATTCCTATTCAGCCAATCACATGGCAGCAACTCAATGCATTTAGGCATGTAGACATGGTCAAGACGATCGGCTGCAGTTCAAACCAAGAATCAGAATGGGGAAGAAAGGTGATTTAAGTGACTTTGAACGTGGCGTGGTTGTTGGTGTTGGTAGAGAATGGTCTGAAAAAGAGAAAATATTCAGTGAGTGGCAGTTCGGTGGGTGAAAATGTCTTCTTGACGCCAGAGGTCAGAGGTGAATGGCCAGACTGGTTCGAGCTGATAGAAAGGCAACAGTTACTTAAATAACCACATGTTACAACCACGTTATGCAAGAGAGCCTCTCTGAACACAGAACATGTCCAACCTTGAGGCAGATGGGCTACAGCAGCAAAAGACCACACCGTGTGCCACTCCTGTTTGCTAAAAACAGGAAACTGAGGCTACAATTTGGATAGGCTCACCAAAATTGAATTTGACTCCAAATTTATCAATTCAATCAGAATTTGGAGTCAACAACATGAAAGCATGGATCCATCCTGCCTTGTATCATGGGCTCAGGCTGGTGGTGGTGGTGGTGTAATGGTGTGGGGGATATTTTCTTGGCACTCTTTGAGTCCCTTAGTGCCAATTAAGCATTGTTGCCACACCACAGCCCACCTGAGTATTGTTGCTGACCATGTCCATCCCTTTAAGACCACAGTGTACCCATCTTCTGATAGCTACTTCCAGCAGGATAAAACAACAACAATCATAAAGCACAAATCATCTCAGACTGGTTTCTTGAACATGACAATAAGTTCACTGTACTGTAATGGGCTCCACAATCAACAGATCTCAATCCAATAGAACAACTTTGGGATATGGCGGAACAGGAGATTCGCATCATGGATGTGCAGCCGACAAATCTGCAGAAACTGCATGTTGCTATCAAATATGGACCAAACTCTCTGAGGAATGTGTCCAGTACCTCGTTGAATCCATGCCACAAAGGACAGTTTTGAAGGAAAAAGGGGGTCCAACCTGGTACTTGCAAGGTGTACCTAATAAAGTGGCAGATGAGTGTATATATTACTTTTGTAATACATTACTCCCAACAATGTTTATGAGTCGCATGACTCTAGAATGAATTGGAAATGTTTTACAATATTTTGAATCAAACACATTATTCTAATAGTTCTTTCGTCTGTGTATGTCCCAGGACCACCTGCTGCTGCCGGCCATCAGCCACAACAAAACCACTCGGCCCAAGATGTCCCTGGTGATGCCCGCCATGTCTGTGAATGGTGAGCATGGCAACGGGGTGTTTAAAGCTGGGGTACCTAACTCTCACTGGAACTCTTGTCATCAAATCCATGTCACTAGTTCCTGACTCTAAAACCCTTTGGTCTGTTCTGAGAGTTTGCTTCTATTACTTGTTTCCACATGCAGGTATTTGTTGCCTGTGTCACATCTCTAGATCAACTTTTTCAGATAGAAAGGTGAAAAAGAGAGGACCACCCTCACTCAGCCAATCAGTTCTCTGCCCAAAAAGGCAAATAGTGACTCACAGGGCTCTTTCTCGAACAAAGCCGCACATGTTTTCTCATGATGGTCTGATTTAATTTTAATATTAATTTTGTAAACTTTTTAGAATGTTCAATTTATTATTAGTTTTGTTTTTGTTTGGATGGATGTTTTTGCTGCTACTGGACACATTAATTTATCCTACAGGGATCAATAAAGTATCTATCTGTTCACAACCTTTTACTTTAAAACTCTATGTCAGACAAGCTCCATGTGCTGTTTATTGAGCTAAAGTTATGTACCCCAGCTTTAAGGACATGTATGTATCTATAGTATCCATAATAAATATATGTACAGTGGGGCAAAAAAGTATTTAGTCAGCCACCTATTGTGCAAGTTCTCCCACTTTAAAAAATGAGAGGTCTGTAATTTTCAACTGTGAGAGACAGAATGTGAAAAAAAATCCAGGAATTCACATTGTAGGATTTTTAAAGAAATTGTTTGTAAATAATGGTGGAAAATAAGTATTTGGCCACTTCAAACAAGGAAGATCTCTGGCTCTCACAGACCTGTAACTTCTTCTTTAAGAAGCTCTTCTGTCCTCCACTTGTTACCTGTATTAATGCCACCTGTTTGAACTTGTTATCTTTATAAAAGACACCTGTCCACAGCCTCAAACAGTCAGACTCTAAACTCCACTGTGGCCAAGACCAAAGAGCTGTCAAAGGACACCAGGAAAAGAATTGTAGACCTGCACCAGACTGGAAAGAGTGAATCTACAATAGGCAAGCAGCTTGGTGTGAACAAATCAACTGTGGGAGCAATTATCAGAAAAAGGAAGACATACAAGACCAATGATAATCTCCCTCGATCTGGGGCTCCACGCAAGATCTCATCCCATGGGGTCAAAATGATCATGAGAACGATGATCAAAAATCCCAGAACCACACGGGGGGACGGTGGCTGAGTGGATAGCACTCTCGCCTCTCAGCAAGAAGGTCCTGGGTTCGAATCCCGGTCGGACCAGGGCCTTTCTGAGTGGAGTTTGCATGTTCTCCCCGTGTCTGCGTAGGTTTCCTCCGGGTACTCCGGTTTCCCCTACCACTAAAAATATGTCCAATAGGCATGTCTGGCATGCGCCTCCTGTTCGGCGACCCCGCTCCCATCTCTGTGTGGAGTGAGAGATAAATGCCCATAATTAACAATTGTAAACCGCTTTGAGACTCAGATCTGCAGTGAAAAGGCGGTATATAAATAAAGATTACTACTATTACTACTACTACCTGGTGAATGAACTACAGAGAGCTGGGACCAAAGTAACAAATGCCGATTTACCACAGTATCAGTACGGTACAGTACAGTACGCTTCAGCACGGTTATTTAGTATGGGAGCACTAGTGGATGGTATGGGAGAATTGCGTACTTTTCCGTACTGCCGTGGTTCCATCCCCATAGTACTCGTGCCATGACGTCACGTCGGCCCACTGCCTTACACTGATTGGTCAACGAGTGTCGTCACTGGAAGCGACATCTGACTCTTTGGGAAAAACAACTCAACCGCCATCTTTAAAACCGGCTGCTCTGCTCGGCTCTGTTTCAGCTACATTACGTCCTCCTCACTCCAGAGAAATGGAATTGCACAGAAAGCCCCAAAAGTCCTGGTCCTGGTCGGTGGACGAGGTCCACACGTTCCTCTCTTCAGGCCAAAGAAAGAATTCAAATGCAGCTCGAGGCTCAACACAGTTTTCAGGAGATCACCCAGCTCTGGATTTGTGACTAGTCTGTGGTAATCCTGAAATAACTGGTTAGCTACGAATCCCGTTAAAGCTCTCACTGAAATGTATTTACTGTGTACATGTTTGATTGTCTGTTGTACACAGTGAGCTAGCTACATTTAGCTTCATTTAGCTATCTATAGCAGCTAAGCTAACGTCCTCCCTGTGCTACTGTGCTTTATCTCGTATTATCTGCAGTATTCACGTGTTGTCATTCTGTTTTGTGCTTGTATTTAAGTTGTTGTGTGTATATTTGTATGAGAATCTCTTCCCATAAGTGTGGAGATTACCAACAAGCAATGAGTGACCGGAGTATTCTCCTCATCTGGTCTCAGACATACGTACTTTTGACTTTGTAAACTGTTGGTTTGGCACTTTACTTTTGTCTTCAATAAATCTGTGATTGTATCCCAAGACTGTGTTTTATTCATTTATTTTTATTGTAGCTGAGGTTTGGGTATCGGTTGTTTGTCTGGTCTCGGAGTCTGCTGTAGTCCGGACTCGAGTCCGGACTAGCCTAGCCTAGTTTAGCCTAGCCTAGCTGCTAACTCGCTACCCCTATGGCTGCCGCTGTCTCTCCCTCGGTCCTTTACTGCTCGAGTTGCCACATGACGAGTTTAAACCCCGGATCCTCCTCTGAGGGCAGTGATAGATGTGTTAAGTGTAGTATAGTAGTAGCTTTGGAATCCAGGGTTAGTGAGTGAGCAGAGTCTCGAGCTAGCGCTAGCATTAGCTATAGCCTAGCAGTATCCTCGGACATGCAGCCCTCCTCCTCTGCTACACAGGCTGCTGTTTCTACAGGTCCCATTCAGATTGTACAGAGCAGTCAGCACCATTGACTTCACAGTGTCCGAGTCATTCTTTCAAGAAAACTACTCGTGCTGTGTTGAATTTTCTATTAAACACTTGCACTGACATTATAATAAATCCATGCACCGCACCAGTACTAGTTACGCGTCACACGTAAATGACGTGGTCTGACAACGCTGATGACATACTGGGGGGTTCTATTTTTGATGGAAAAGCACGCGAACTGGGCCATGGCACGCCGTGTAGAGTCAAAACGTACCGTACTAGGACTGTGTAAAAGCGGCAAAAGATTACCATCAGTAACACACTACAACGACAGGGAATCAAATCCTGCAGTGCCAGACGTGTCCCCCTGCTGAAGCCAGTGCATGTCCAGGCCCGTCTGAAGTTTGCCAGAGAGCACATGGATGATACAGCAGAGGATTGGGAGAATGTCATGGGGTCAGATGAAACCAAAGTAGAACTGTTTGGTATAAACTCTACTCGTCGTGTTTGGAGGAAGAAGAATACTGAGTTGCATCCCAAGAACACCATACCTACTGTGAAGCATGGGGGTGGAAACGTCATGCTTTGGGGCTGTTTTTCTGCTAAGAGGACAGGACGACTGATCCGTGTTAAGGAAAGAATGAATGGGGCCATGTATCGTGAGATTTTGAGCCAAAACCGCCTTCCATCAGTGAGAGCTTTGAAGATGAAACGTGGCTGGGTCTTCCAGCATGACAATGATCCAAAACACACGGCCCGGGCAACGAAGGAGTGGCTCCGTAAGAAGCATTTGGAAGTCCTGGAGTGGCTTAGCCAGTCTCCAGACCTCAACCCCATTGAAAATCTGTGGAGGGAGTTGAAAGTCCGTGTTCACTGCTCTCAAGAAGATCTGCATGGAGGAATGGACTAAAATACCAGTGTGCAAACCTGGTAAAGACCTTTAGTAATTGACCTCTGAAATATAACCTGTGCTGGCAATAACAAAGTATTGAGTTGATTTTTTGTTATTGACCAAATACTTATTTTCCACCATAATTTACAAATAAATTCTTAAAAAATCCTACAATGTGAATTCCTGGATTTTTTTTCACATTATGTCTCTCACAGTTTAAGTGTACCTATGATGAAAATTACAGACCTCTGTCATTACTTTAAGTGGGAGAACTTGCACAATCGGTGGCTGACGAAATACTTTTTTGCCCCACTGTATGTATGTATGTATGTACAGTATGTTTTAATCTCATATTCTGCCCTCACAGAGAGCCTTTATAACTCGTCACGCGGCTACGAGATGATGATGCAGGTGGACTGTGAGGTCATGGACACAAGGATCGTCCCCATTAAGTCCTCATCCGTCCCTCCCTCCCTTCGAGACCCGCCCCCTCCCCCGCGCACCCCCCATCATCACGGCAACGCCCAGCACCACGGCAACCAGTCCTCCCACCACCACCATCAGCATCCGCCCCCTGGCAACCACCGCGTCCGGCCCGTGGAGCTGCTGATAGGGCAGGTCTGAGGAACTGGAAGACTGAGGGTCTGGTCTTAGGGACTTTGTCAGTCTTTAGTTTTAGATCTACAGATCTGAAGCTGAAGGTCCAAGTCTGAGATCTGAAGCCTGACTCGTCTCCACTCTACGTCAAAGTGTTTCCACTGGTCCTGTTTGATCGCTACCAGGTCCTCCTTTAGTCCCTATTGGTCTTCCTGGTTCTATCCAGCTCGAGCTGGTAGTGTTCTAACCGACAGTGATTGGCCAGAGTGAAGATGGAAATTATGGTTACCAAGGAATTTCCCCAGATACTCAAGTGTAATGGAAACGCATCCAGGTAGAGTAGAGAAGGGCCATGTCGGGCTGGTGGAAACAGGTCTCCAGTCTGGGGTTTCTCAAAAGAGCTTGTCCCCAAATCTTTACTTTATTTATATGGCACATTTCTCACAGAGCTGAAGAAGGGAATGGAGAAAAATATTCATCTCAGTCGGATCTTAGCGTCCTCGAACACAGAGAAACTAGTTAAAATTTTAAAAGAGCAATATGAATATCAAGACATAAAATAGACCAATGAAAAGGACCCTAACCCTACACTGTTTTCTTGTAAAGAAAATGTTGACTTTTATTCCTGTGTATTTTTCCAGCTCTAAATATTTTACAAAAAGTGAAAATCTCAGCGACAATGAAGATTCAACAGTTTACCTTTTACATTCAAATCCAAAACTCTTCCACAAACTCCTCCTCTTTCGAAAACAATCACTTTTTGTAAACATTGTTTTAATTATTCCTAATATATTTGTTAAAACGATACATAAGCTTAAAGAATAACTATTTTGAATTTCTCTCTATTCTCCTTTTGTCTCTCTTGCGCATCTAGTCTCTAGCCATCCCTCTCTCCTGCCCTCCTCTATGCTCTCCTCTTTCCACTCCCTCTCTCCTCCATTCTCCTTTCTCTTCTGAGTCTCCCTCTCATTTTTCCACATTTTGCTTTAAATCGTTTGGACTTTGTAAATGTGTTTTAGGGACCGAGGACCTTTGAATTTTCCGTGTTCCACTCATTCCCAGTTTGTCGTGAAGATGTGTTATTTATCATTTGTAAATATGGACTTGTACATAGATCAATTGTTTTTTTTTTATTTGCTGAAAAAAATTAAAATATATTATAGTAGTAACACTGTACAGAAATGTTTCCTCTGGTTTTTGTCTTAGTCCAAATTCATTGTTTGGGCTTTTATTTTGAAGGCGACTGGACGCTGTTTAGGCCCTCTGAATCCCCCCATCTTGGACATGACATTGTGTGCCTGTCTCACAGCTCCACACAGCGCCCCCTGTGGCTCACTTTGGTACATAAACAACACTGTAAAACTCACTAATCTTAACTAAAAGAGCCAAGCCCCCCACTTCTGCATCAGTCCCTCCGCATCGCTCTGAGCTCTGCCTCTTTATTCCACCTCTCCGTAAGGCACATGGCCCTTGTAGGTGGCGCTCACATCTTGTTCACAAAAAACACACTATCAGTGGCCTCTATCTGGTATCTCTCTGGGTCTCTTTGGCCTCTCTATCTGGTATCTCTGGTCTCTGCTCTGTTTTTCCCTGGACTAGTTAGTTTGGCTCAGGTTTGGGCTGTAGGGACGAGAGAGAAGCACACAATGTCGTCTTCAAACACACAATGATGATGTCACTGGAATAAGACCCCACAGGTTGAGAACCACTGTCACCCCTCTCCTTTTATATTGTGGCTGTACATTATTTTGCACTTGTCTTTTTTTCACTTTTATAAAACGTTGTGTCAATTGAAATAAACATGCTCAGTATCTGCTCGTTCAGTCATTTCTTCACTCGTCATATCCACTTCAAAAAGGACAAACTTTATTGATACATTATTCAGATCAGATAAACAGTTCAAAAAGGGGAAATACAATGATTTAAAAAAAAAAAAAATACATTGGTCATCTTCCTCTTATTGACCAATGTCCATGAATGTTGGTAAATAAATGGTAGTTGTAGTAGCAACATTCAATTTATATATCTATTTCAGAAGTACCAGCAGTAGCATTAGTAGTTAGCAGTAGTACTGTAGAAGCAATCTCTTTTAGAGCCAGCAACACTTGACTGGACTTTATTGCGTACAGTAGTTGAGTTGTTGTGGTGTGAAAGTTACATACCTGAGCTTTTTACCTCCACATTCTTCTGTTTGATGTATGTATTTTGACAGCGTTTACAGGACACGCATCAGTCGCGGCAGATGTCCAAGGAATGAGGAGGTGAGACCAGAAGCCAATAACTGCTGGTGACCCCCCAAAGCACATTCTGTACCAGTGACCAGAGAGACCAGAGAAAGGGACCAGAGAGATAGATCAGTGAGAGATAGGCTTGTTCACACTAAAGGGTACAAAAGTGTGACAAAAGGCCAGAAATTAGATTTTAATCATCAGAAGGTATAATATGTTTATCATTTATCCAAATACCTCTTCAGTCCATTAGTAGTTGCTAAAAGATAACTGTTTTATACATTATTCAAGTTTGCTACTGCGGCTCTGTTTATTTGTGTCACGGACGTGATGCCTCTGATGGAATGAGCTGCAGAAGTTTGCTACATATTTTCAGATGCCCACATTTGATTAATAGATTTTCTTGTTTTTGCACAGAGTAGAAGCAAAGTGATTACTTAAGAGTAGAGAGGAGGACTTGTAGCGACTCAAAAGTTCCCTAAGAGGACAAAATGGTGGACGGAAAAGGCACGAGATATATTCTACTAACACTGGATGACAATGAATCAGTGAAACCCTGCACATTGGATCTTGCAGGAATCATGTTTGTGGTATATTAAAAAGTCAACAATGTGACCAGCTTCTCATAGGCTGGTCAGCAAACACAGCTGTACCATTTTACCATCGTTACACAAAAGTGAGTAGAAACGGTAAAAGTTGAAAGAGAAAAAATGACCAGCATGACAATTAATATAAGAAACGTTTCACTGTGTTAATACTGTGCAAGTGGGCCAAAGTTTTCATGAATGAATACTTTATTTCAAGCCATGGCAAACAAGAGCAAATAAAAAAACAACAGAATAGAAAAAGAAACAATACATGATAACATACAAATATACAGAATGTTTTGTTTTATTAACAAAAACCCAGCTCGAAAAGGAGTGGGAAAAAGTTAAGACTTTAAAACTCCCACGCCCTATCTATTACTCTAAATTAACCTAACCTAAATGATGTGGTTGTCATAGCTCAGCTTAGTCAGTGGTATATTTACAGTTATGCAACAGTGACATTCACAAAAATATTCACTTGATTTGTACAGTGTATACTGTAATATGTTTGTATTCTTGTTACCTTAATACCTTTGACGTCTTTCAGTATCACAGCCTTTACTAATCATAACGTCATCATTATCACCATATATCCATATGTAATTCCATCCATCCATCCATTTTCTTCCCCTTAATCCATTTCTGGGTCAGGGGGGTGGCAGTCGGAGCTGTACCCAGTACACAGAGCACCAATATGTAATTCATATTTATAATTTTCTGTATCATGTTTATCTATTTAATAATTAAATATGATTATAAAATATCTTATGTACTTTTAATATTGAATATAAAAAGTTATTATGTTATACGAGAGTTCAATTTGATAATTAGTGCTGAGCAAGCTTTTATTTTGATGGTGTGTTATTCATAAAGGGAGTCATAGCGTCCACAGATCTGTCTCCAGAGGGACTAGTCTGTGAACAGCAGACCACCCTTTGCTACGGGTCCTTTGCTGTGCATTAAAAAAGACATTATGTATGATGATTTAACTTACTATTCATAGCATTCATTTGACATTGACATATCTATCTATCTATCTATGAATATTTTATGTGGAATGTTATTTACAATTACAGTATACAGTCTTCCATGATGAGATTCAATGATTAAGTTTGTCCATTTGAGGGTCCTTATTTTGCCCATTCTGACCAAAAGTATGTTTTCTCTAACTTTTAGGATCAACCAATCACAGCGTTTGAAATGATGACCATACCTAGCAACGGGGTCGGCCACGCCTCCTCACTAAGATAGGAGTTTTTGTCCAATCCTTGCTCAGAGTTCTCTCAGAATGTTCTGGATTAACTTTTTAGCTAATGTGGCAGGTGTAGGTGTGGTCATGGGTGTGGCCTGGTCACATGACCAAGGCTTTAAAATACAGGCAACCAGGGCTCACTTCCTCTTCCTGAGCCAGCCTGTTCACAATCAGACTCTGGTGAGCTGAAAGTGTTTAGAGTGTTTTTATATTTGTATTCATTGTATATTTAAAAAAAAAAAAACGTTGTTAATGTCTTTTAAGGGTTACAACAGTCCTGTCTTGTTGAGGTATGCTTTCATAAATCTTGTTTGTATTTTATAATTCATTTTATTAATTGCACTGGGTTTTATTCATAGGCCCAGTGCTGGTTTCCGTTTACTTTTATATTTAGGTTTTGCTTATTTTAGTTTGTAGAGTTACTTTGTTGATAGCTGGGGAGACAGGGCTCACTTTAAGTGGTGGCCTTGTTCGTAGTTTTGGTGTAGGTGGCACATGTATGTTTATGGTGATTTCTGTTGTGGGGATGGATTTGTTTACTTTTGTTTGCTTTTCATATAGACTGCCCCTCACCCCAGCTTCAAGTTTCACTGTTTTAGTTCAATAGTCCCAGTTGCTGTTTTTAATATGTTTATGTAATGTAAATAAAAGCTGCCATAGGGCTGTTGGACCCACACTGACTGTCTGGCTTTGTTATTGAAGCTCACCTGCATTCTACAACACTACAGTGTTACACTAAGACTCCTCGCGAGGAGTTTTTAGGTTAAGAGGACTCTCAGAATCTTTAGGCATACGGCCCCTGAGAGACACATCTGAGAGACACATCTGAGAGACACATCTGAGAGACACATCTGAGAGACACATCTGAGAGACACATCTGAGAGACACATCTGAGAGACACATCTGAGAGACACATCTGAACCCCCAAAACATATTCTGTACAGAGGAGCTTCTGTCTAC